CCCAAACGTAAGTGGTTGGTGTTGCTCTGATGTGGTTTGCTCCTTCTTTCCTACTACCAAATATCTATCGTCCTTATCGCTCCTTCTTTGCTTTGTGTGTTGCTATCTTGTGCCACCTTTAATCTTCTCCGACCTTCCATTGCAGAGTAGCAACACTTACATGCCACACTGTGCTCATATCCGTGGCCTGTACTGTCCCCGCGATTTTATGCACACACAAACATTCTGAAGTTATGCAAGCTGAGCATAAAAATGTGAAATTATGCGATTCTGTTAAATTTAACAAAGAATGATAAAGGAAAATAATCAGAAATTATGCCCCCCAAAAAATGATCAAGTCTTGCTAAATTCTGCGGGGTGCATAAAACCCAGGGGACAGCCTGTAAATAGGAGACAAAATTCTCCCCCGCTTCAGCCATAGAATAGATTCGAGAAGATTTACTGCGCGCCATCATATTCCACACAGAACACGTTTGCTTTCGATGGAACCACCATTTACAATTTACACCTTAGAGTTATGATTTACACTGACATCACACTCCACAGACAAATTAATACATCTTAGAACGACCCCCCGGGGTATTGACATACAGGTCACCCTGCATAAATCAATCATGATCAGCCCCGTTTATGTCTCGCCAAATTACCCTTTAAAATAATTAATGTTCCAGCTAGTTGAATAAGCGCCAAGTCCAGAAATCTTTAATTTATTAGTAGAGTTTGGGAATATAATTTTGATTGATAGATAGATAGATAGATAGATAGATAGATAGATAGATGTCAAGGTTTTTCAAATTCAATTCTTTGAATATCTGGATAACAACTCGGAATATTCTGACCATTTTGACAGAGCAGATAGAGCATTTGTTTTCTGACCTGATGGTATTAGTAATATTCAAAACAGCCAAAAATGTCGGATAGAACTTTGTCATTCTGAGGTAGCGATTAGTATAGAGCGCAAATCCCCGCTCAACAGCAAGATCTATGCGCTTATACATTCTATACTATTACCTGAGCTGACCTGACAGCATTCTGAAACAATATCTCAACTTACTTGGAAACATACAGTGCAAGCTGTCATTATAGGCGTTAAAACAGAAGACGAACCATAACAATGTAGGATATAATCTCCAATCAAACACCTGTCCCCGCGGTTTTATGCACTCCGCATAATTTAGCAAAATTTGATCTTTTCGTGTGCGCATAATTTCTGATTATTTTCCTTTTTCATTCTTTGTCAAAATTAACAGAATCGCATAATTTCATATTTTTTGAGGCTCAGTTTGCATAATTTCTGAATATTTTGTGTGTGCATAAAACCGCGGGGACAGAAATACAGACACCCCCTGGGGCGATGCCACTGACTGAAGTGTCTTTAGGCCATTCCCAAAGTGGGGACATTTCTCGTTCAAGCGCAGTAGAATTGTAAATGGTATGATTCATCAATATCACGCTCATAACTGTGCCTGATCTACAACAGGGAACTGCAGCTTTTTCTTTCCTAATCCTTACTATTTTCATTTTTCCTCTACTTCTTTCGTATGTTTTTCACACTCTTGTGACCCACTATTTCCGGGTGCCTTGATAGTCGAAGCAGACTTTGTACTGTTGAAGCTAGAGCTGATCCCTGTAAGGACTTCACTGTTGACATCCACCCCTTGGCGCTCATTTGACCTTATGCAGTTGCGAGCGCCGTAAAACCTCTACTATATTTTTTAAAAAGAAATACGGAAATGGTTACACATTATAATTATATAATGAATGATAAATAAAGACAGACAGAGGTACAAGCAAGGAGCTTAAAAGAACCTCCTTTAACCTCCTTGGATACAAGGCTTACCCGCCATGATGTCCAGAAAGTGTTCCATCTCCGTGGCGTAGGCCTCAGGGTACCTGGTGTCGAATCCCTGGTCGATGTGAGGGGCCGCGGAGACCTGGGGGCTGTGCCGGTACGTCTGTTGGGTGGGTCGGTTAGTCACCACGTAACTGCCGTCGTCACAGATCGCCTGGGACATAGCAGACGATAACACTGCTCTATCATAAGCACTTTTATTTTTACTAATCAGATGGCGTCAATCCACAGAATTCTACACTAAGTGTAGAATTCTGTGCGTCAATCTCATATAAATGGGCAAGGGTTTAAAAAAAAGAACCGTTGAGCTCTTCACCGTTGCATGCAACCGACGTGATTTCTTGTTTGTTTGTTGGGTTTTTTGTTTTTTTGGTGTGTTTTTTTTGGGGGGGTGGTTGTTCTAGGTTTATGTAAGAGTTTAACGGCACTTGCAACACTTTTGGGTCATAAATTAAAAATGTTACAAGAGAACAACAAACACCATAAAAAGAAAGAGGAAAGATAGGGACGATAGATGTTTGATAGGAAAAGAGGAGCATACCACACCAGAGCATCCGCCGACCACTCATGATGCGACTTCTATTCTCGTTTGAGGGAATTCTGTTTAATTCAATGAAGTCATCATCAGCGCCTTTCACCCCTGACAGGGTATAGGCCACATACAAGCTCCTTCCATTTATCTCTGTCCTGAGCCATCCTTCCTAGTTCGTTCCAAGTGGGCTTCGAATCTCTCATGTCCCTTCCCACACATCTCCTCCCTGTTTCCCGTGGCCTACCCCTGCCTCGAGGTCCCTGTGGGTTCCACTGCAGTGACTGTCTTGTGATGTTTCCGCTGGGCTGTCTGAAGGTGTGTCCAATCCAACCCCGCTTTCCTAGTCCTATTTCGACTCCTATATCCTTTTGTCCTGTCCTTTCCCATGACTCTTCATTTCTTATTCTATCCTGCCACTTAATTCTTAGGATACTCCTCACACATCTGTTGATGAAAGTAGCTAGCTCTATCTCTTGGCTGGTTGGGGCCAGGGAGGGGAGGGGGAGTTGGGAGAATCTTTATCCTGCACCAAGCACTAAGTCCAGAATGGTCCTAACGGGCAGGGGCGAAGAGGCGTGCCTCCTAACTGATCTCAGTACATGTAGTTACGGTGGGGGGGTTTTAAAACATAAAATCAAAGACGACGATGATTTTGATCACTATGGTCAGGACGTTTATGAGGACAATGATGGTCGTGATGATATTGCCAACGACGGTGGCGAACAAGAAGAAGAAGAAGATGATGATGATGATGATGATGGTGATGGTGATGATGATGATGATGGCGAACATGATGGTGATGATGGTGATGATGATGATGATGATGATGATGATGATGATGGCGAACATGATGGTGATGATGGTGATGATGATGATGATGATGATGATGATGATGATGGCGAACATGATGGTGATGATGGTGATGATGATGATGATGATGATGATGATACTGCCAAAAACGGTGGTGAACAAGATGATGGCATAACGATAACTATGATGATGATGATGATGATGATGATGATGATGATGATGATGATGATGATGATGAAAATAGCGTCGCCGGAAGTGACAATAACAAAGAGAGGATGGCAGTATAACGACGCCTTTGACTTTAATGACAACCCCACTGACCTCCAGTCTCTGATCATATCCGTGAGAGCAACGTCGACCGTTATCGATGACAGTCACAGCGCCACTGGCATGCTCGATGGTGACAACGACCAGGTCAAGGTCGCCCGCTTCGCGAACGTCCGGATGAAAAGCCTGACCGGACGCGTAGACTCTCGTGGCTGGTGATCCGGTCATCCACAGAGCCATATCGAAGTCGTGAATTGTCGAGTCTTTGAAAATACCACCTGTTGATTTTTTTAAAGAAGGTGAATTGAAGGCGCGCGGGG